GCTGTCCCTCAGCTCTTCAGCTCAAGGCTAGCACGCTACCATTTGAACCATAGCACCACTTCTGGCTTTTTTTTCCTGCTTATGTGGTGCTGAGGAATCCAACCCATGGCCTCATGCATGCAAGGCAAGCGCTGTACCCCCCATTGCACATTTGTAATGCTTTCCTTTTTCTTATTTTAATTATATTAGTCTGTAGTCTTGGGTTATTTAAGATGAGAAATACTTATTTTGTGTCCATTTTTCCTATAAGAAGAAAGAAAAAGATCAAATAACTAGCTTTATAACTACAAGGTACAATTCATTTTAACTACTGAAATTCATCAAGTGAACAGTGTTAAAAATCAATGCTTATTTACTCATTTATTTTTATTTTCGCCAGTCCTGGGGCTTGAACTCAGGGCCTAGGCACTATTCCTGAGCTTTCTTTCACTCAAGGCTGGCACTCTACCACTTGAGTCACAGCACTACTTCAGGCCTTTTCTGTTTATGTAGTACTGAGGAATCAAATCTAGGGCTTCTTGAAAGTTAGGCAAGCACTCCACTGCTAAGCCACCTTCCCAGTCCTTACTTATTTTTTATATTGTAATAAAAAGGAGAAAATATACCTTTGAGTATCAGTTTAAATACTGAAATAAGAAGTCAGAGTCTTTAGTATTCAGTGTTCTGTGTGGTAGAGCAGCTCATATTATTCTTCCTGATCCGAATTTCATGTATTGTTCAACACCTAGGCATTGTCTTAAAACTATGTTTGAAAGTAGCCTGTCACAAAGTATTAGCACTTTTGTAGTCCTTTAGAAACTTATTTCCTCCCCTCTTTTCTCCTTCTGTTCCCTCCTGTCCTCTCCTCCCCTCCCATCCCCTCCCTCCCTCCCTCCATCCCTTCCTCGATTGAATTTAGAGCTTTGATATTTGCAAGACAGGTGCTTTACTAGTGATTCACACATCCAGCCCTTTTTACCTTGTTTTTTTTTTGGGGGGGGGGGGTCCAGTCGTGGGACCTGAACTCTGGGCCTGGGTGCTGTCCCTCAGCTCTTCAGCTCAAGGCTAGTGCTCTACCACTTGAGCCACATCGCCACTTCTGGCTTTTTTCTTTTTTTTTTTTTTTTTTTTGCTTATGTGGTGCTGAGGAATGGAACCCAGGGCCTCAGGCATGCAAGGCAAGCGCTCTACCACTGAGCCACCTTCCCAGCCCCCTTGTTGTTTTTGAAGTAGGCTCTCACTTTTGCCTGGTCTGACCTGTGTTGTAATCCTCCTACTTGTCCTTCCCCACGCTGTTGGTGATGACAGGTGCTTGCCACCTGTGCCCACCCATTATGTTTTGCAGTAGCTGGGATAATAACATATCACCATGCCTAGACATTGTTAAGAGAATCTGTCAAACTTTTATGCCCAGGCTGGCCTGGAACCATAGGCTCATAATCTCTGCTTCCCAAGTAGACTTAAGCCACCAGTGCCCTGCCATCATACTGTGGTTTAATCTTTTCAAGTGCCACAGCACACTGACCATTGTTTATGTCTTTTAAAAAAAAAAAACAACATTTTATTGTAAAGGTGATTACAGAGAGGTTACAATTTCATAGGTAAGGTCATGAATACTTTTTGAACCCTTATCCCCTCCCTCATTTTTACCCGTTTCCCAGCCTCCAAGAGACTTGGCTTGAACACGCGTCCCTCAGCTCTTCAGCTCAAGTGCTCTGCCACTTGAGCCATAGTGCCACTTCCGGCCTTTTCTGCTTATGTGGTGCAGAGGAATTGAACCCAGGGCCTCATGCACGCAAGGCAAGCACTCTACCACTGAGCCACCTTCCCAGCCCTGTTCATGCCTTTTCTAGTCAAAATACTCACCTTTATGAAGTAGATTGCCATTGTTGTTAAATAGGGTACATTATTGAGAAAACAGCTTGGAACGTACTGAATTTTCTCCACAAATCAGATTTTTCCTTTTCAAGTCTTATGGAGAAGGAAACCAAAAGTAATAGAGATAAATTTCTTCCTGAGCCAGGCACCAGTGACTCATGCCTGTCATCCTAGCTACTCAGAAGGCTGAGATCTGAGGATCACAGTTCAAAGCCAGCTCCAGCAGGAAAAGTCCATGTTAACCAACAGAAAACCAGAAGTGGCACTGTGGCTCAAGTGGTAGAGTGTTCACCTTGAGCTGAAGAGCTCAGGGACAGCGCCCAGGTCCAGAGTTCAAGCCCTAGGACTGACAAAAAAAAAAAATCTTCCCATCTTCTCAATATTTTTTATTTGGTACATAAGAATGGTAAAAGAGCTCTCCTTTAGAATAATTTTTTGATATTACCAAAATATTAAATGTTTGAAGTCTGCCATTACTATCATAGAATTGTTATTAGTCTTCATAATAATTGTACATTCTTTTTTTTTTTTCAGGTAAGGGGTAGGTTTATTCATTATTCCGGCTGGCACCAGGCCATCTTGGTCCTCCACGAAGTGGGGAAAGGCCTGGGAAAGAGAGCTGGGAGAGCTGGGAAAGAGAGAGAGCCAGGAAGGAGAAGAGAAGGAAAGAGCTGAGAAAGAGCTAGAAAAGAGCAGAGAGCAGAGAGAGAAGGGAGCTGGGAAAGAGAAGGAAAGAGCTGAGAAAGAGCTAGAAAAGAGCAGAGAGAGTAATTGTACATTCTTTAATGCATCACTGTGTGAAAAGTAGAAAAAAATTACAGAATGTAGGAAATCAAATGAAATTCTAAAATGAAATTATATGGAACCTTTTTATTTGCAGTTCAGTTAAAATTACTAGTTTATTTTTTATGCCAGTCCTGGGACTTGAACTCAGGGCCTAGGTGTTGTCCCTGAGCCTTTTTTTTTCTTTCCCCTCCAAAGCTCTCTCTCCCTCATCACGTGAGCCATGGCTCTACATGCAGCTCCTTGGGTGGTTTATTGGGGATCAGAGTCCTGCTCTGCTTGGCTTTGAACTGTGATCCTCAGCTTTCAGCCTCCTCAGGGCATGATCCAGGGCTGGCTGCCAGCTTGAAATTATAAACAAATGCCCTTCTTCTGGGATTTGACATAGAGGGAAAATACTATATACTAAAACGTACATAAGTTTCCAGACTTATATCAGTGGCAAGGTAAATGAGTGTGAATATGGCTGTAGTACTTTGAGCACGTATGAAATAGAACACTTAAACTTTTGACATTGTCTTAAGAAAGAGGATAGTTGGTAAGCGAGAGTGACAGGGGGTTAGTTTGATCATGTGTTGAAATGTCACAATGAATCTTCGACTAGTGTATGAAAAAAAGTCCCAAATTACTAGGTACCAGTGGCTCATGCCTGTAATTCGTAGCTACTTGAAAGGTGAACACTGGGAGAAGCTGTCATTTCAGGCTATCTCAGACTGAAAAATCACCAGAAACCTTTGCAGTACATATCTGGGTACAGTGAAGGTGCTTGTCATCCTAAGCTATGTGGGAGACTGAATGGGTAGGGAAGGCAGTACCGTGCTGGCCTGGAGAAATGCCAAAGGCTTTGAGACTTTGACTAACGGGCATTTGGTTGCAGTGGAATGCACCTGTGAGCCCAGCAATGATAGGAAGCCTGTAGTAGGTGGATCAAAGCTCAGTGTGAGGACCTGAGTTTGGAAAAAGTATTTCCCTCCAAAAAAAACTTTAAGCCGGGCACCGGTGGCTCATGCCTGTAATCCTAGCTACTCAGGAGGCTGAGATCTGAGGATCACGGTTCAAAGCCAGCCAGGGCAGCAAAGTCCATGACTCTTAACTCCAATAAACCACTAGAAAGCCGGAAGTGGTGCTGTGGCTCAAGCGGTAGAGCACTCGCCTTGAGCTGAAGAGCACAGAGACAGGGCCCAAGCCCAGAGTTCAAGCCCAAGCCCAACAACAACAACAAAAAAAACACAAAAACTTTAAAAACTTTAAAAAATATCTCTCATACTAACGTAGGCATGCTGTCTGTTAAAATGTACAATACATGTTAGCATAGGCATGATATCTATTGAGATCTTGGATGTGTGCTGTTTATGCATGGTGTGTCTTAAGATACTGAATGCATGTGTGAATGACTTCTCTGTTTACATATCATGTAACTAATACTGAATCCATGTCTAAATGACTCTTCTGCCTACATAGCATGTAACAAAGGCAGAGGTAAACTAAATAGTCAATGTTCTCAGGGTCATTATTTTTATTTTGAACAATAATGTTATAGTTTACATATCCATACATTCTGAGACTTAAGGGCTGATATTTATTCAGGTCCTCGAGGAACTCCCTCTTTCTTGGCACTGGAAAAACTATTTGCAATCTGAATACAATTCCTGGAGTGCAAGAAGCTTGATAACCACTGGGTTTCTATTCGGATATATAAGATGAAGCAATGGGTCAAACCACTTTTGAAAATTAAATTTGATCAAAAAACATTTAAGTAGGAGACTAATGCCCCACGCCTGTAACCCTAGCTACCCAAGAGGCTGAAATTTGAAGATCCTGATTCAGAATCAGCCTGGACAGACAACTCTAATAAGAGACTTTTATCTCCTAATAACCAGAAAAAAGCCAAAAGTGGAAAGGTGGCTCAAGTGGTAGAACATCAACAATGAGCAAAATGCTGAAGGAGAAAGTGAGGCTTGGAGTTCAGGTCCCAGTACCATTATGAAGAGGGGAGAGAAGGGAAATAGAAAATTAAATTTCTCTGAACTCTTTTTGCTTTGTCACTTGAGCCACACACAACTGCACTTTAAGCTTTTTTGGTGCTTAATTGTAGATACGAGTCTCACAGACTTCCTGCCAGTCTGGCTTTGAACCTTGATCTTAAGATCTCAGCCTCCTGAGTAGCTAGGATTACAGACATGAGCCACTGCTGCTCAGCTTCTCTTTCCTCTTAAAACTCACATTTGCAGTAACCTTTTACTGCTTGAATTGTTATATCTAGAACGTGGACACATTTCTTCTTAGGACTCCAGAGATTTAAACAAAACAAAGAGTTATAAAATTGTTAATTTTCTAATTTTTTTTTCTTCCCTGAACAGGAAGACAGTGACCCTCCCATTCATGAAAGTCTCAGCATAGAAAACACATTGTGGGCTAGCACTGTGGTTGCCTCAGGTGAGAAAGAAGTTCTCCTTCAATGCGACTTCCCACAGATAGAGGATGCTTGATGCTGCCCAGGTACTCTAAACAGCCTTCTCAGATGTCCCTGAGAGCCCGAGGCACGCAGCTTTCACGAGAGACGCCACCGCAGAGCTAGGGAGGCCGGTGGTAACATTAGGTGGCTCTTAGCAATTCTTACTTATCTGACAAACAGGAACCAGGCTGGATGGGTGATGAGAAAAGAGTGAGAGGAGACCTTGCAGGCAGCAGAAATAGATCCTAAGGCCTTAAGGTCAGGGTAAAGATTCAGAATTACACCTAAGGGAAATTGGAAGATTGTGGAGTATTTCCAGTGGTTGAGGAAAAAAGGTTTTTCAAGAAATTTCTGTGGAATGTATTGGACATGTGATCATCGCCCTGTCAAGGTCACAGTGTCAACACTGACATTAATGATGGTGTTCAGAGGGAGTCCTGGCAGAGGTCAGTTGATGTTGATGATGGTACAGGGCATATGATGAGAGGGCAGTGAAGCTGGTGAGACGTGGACGTGCTGGGTCACTCTAGGATTGCCTGTTTTCTCAGTGTCGCCCAGTGCTGGTTACTTTCTATCCTAGGACCTCGCATTCTCACAGTGGTTTTGAGCAGAATACCTGCCCTCCTCTAAAGGCTCTGTCTGGGATGAAATAGTAATGGAGCCTGCCATTAGGCAGCTTATAGTTTGGTTAGAAAGACATCAGGATACATACCTGCTCTATATATCACACAGAAGTGTAGTTTGCTATACAAACTTAGCTTTATAGATGTGGTCCAGGCTTCTCTGAGGAAACCTGCAGTATTAGATAGGCTTACAGTCTCGTCCTTAAGCTTTCTTTGTGTCGCGGTTGGCATTTGCACTGCCAACATCTATGAATTGCCAGGGTGTTAAGGTCACTTTGAGTCTTGCCCCTAAGATGAAGCGCTATACCAGAGTTGTCTTTCCATGTCCACGGACAGAACCCTGGCATCTTCCTCCTAGCTTCCTTGAAAGCTTGGCCCTCAGAACTTACTAAGAGTAGTTCATCAGAACCTACTAAGAATAGTTCATCAGAACTTGCTAAGAATAGTTCATCAGAACTTATAAGAATAGTTCATCAGAAAACACCTGGAATTTGGGGTACAGAAGCTCAAGTTTTGGGCAGAAACAACATTTTCTGGCTTTAGTATAGTATGTATAGTTTTGTGTGTCTGTGCTGATCCTGGGATTTGAACTCAGAGATTGGGCTGCTTTGTTTGAAGCTGGCACTCTGCCCCTTCAACTACAGTTCCAATTCCAGCTTTTTGGTGGTTAAGTCTCATAGACTTCCCTGTCTGGGCTGGCTTTGAACTCAGATCTCAGCCTTCTGAGTGTTACAAGTATGAGCCGCTAGCCCCAGCTATTATGTATAGTTTTTATTCAAGAATCATCCAAAGAGACAGAGCAATCTGAGCTCCATGCTTCTGAGACACCACATAATTTCCCGAAAATGCTTTCTCTCCAACCTTTTATCTCTGGATGAGCTTGTCATACAACAGCTGCTAGCTGCATACCTTATGAAGAGACATTAATGACTTAAGCATTCTAAGACATTTTCCATGTTGCAGCCCTTTCTTATTATTTATGCCATGTAGCATTAAATCTACCAGGCTGTTTGGTCTTCTCAGAGGGGACATAGATTATTGTAGATTATCCCCTCAGGAAGGTTAACTTTCATGTCTAGATGGTGTTTGAGTATTTGTAAGATGCAAGCTTTTTTAAAATCATGTTTATCTTTACCCATAAACATGACCGTGAACTGTGACCCTAAGACAAGCGTGAAGAAGTTTTTTCCTGCCAATGTCTGGGTCTTTTTATGTTCTTTTTTCAACCAATTATACTCAACTTGAAGTATGCAAATATGGACCACTGGTTTTCTAGATTAAGTAGTTACAGGTCTTTTAAAATGTTTTCTTTCTTTAAAACAAAGTATTTTCTTATATGGAGGAGCCAGTGCCTTGAGTTCTTGCTCATGGCTGACACTCTACCACTTGAGCCTGGCCAGCAGTCTAGCCATTTAGTTGGTTTACTGAAGATAGAGTCTCTTGGGCTTTTCTGCCAGAGCTGGTTTTGAATATTAGTCCTCAGACCTAAACTTTCTCCCGATGTAGGATCACAGTCATGAGTTATCAGCACTCAGTGAAAAACATTGCCTTGATACAGACATTTTGAATTAATTATAGATATTATATTACCATCACTGTAAGGGATTTTGTGGCATGATATTTACGTGTTAGAATTTTTTGTGGTTATGGTTTTAATATACATGTTTCTGAATTAATTTTAATGTAGAAGCCCCCAGGGCTGAAGCCAAGCTGAGGGGAGCTTAATTCTATACATAGATATGTATTAATTTACTTGGAAATCTAAATTGTGTTTGGTTTTGTATTATCTGGTATAATCTGAGAATGTGTAATATCTTATTATCCTTGTGTGTGTCAGTTTAAAAACTGTTCTGTAATTTGTTTTGAAGACTGACATAGGCAAGTATATGGTCTCAGAACATTCTTTAATTGTATAAAATGATAGATTTCATTGTGACCTTTTCATGTATGTATACAATATATACTTTGAGTACAGTCATTATACCCTCACGCTGCATTTCTTTATGCAGGGGTTTTTTAGTCATTTAACCTGTAGTAGTCTATAAATACATACATTTTGTCCAAAAGAATGGAGCGTATCTCGTGAGTCCTGTACTAGTTCTAGCAATGTTAGCCAGACTCAGAACAGGAACACCCTTGGCAATCATAGTGGGTAGTCATTTAGTGACGTATCAGTGGGAAAATAAGTATGAGCATCTTCAGCACATGTTAATAGATGGACAGCTGTAGAATCAAACTCATGTTAAATCTCATTATGTGTACTGTGCTTCTGTTTAATTTTTCTGCTTCTTACACTTAATTTGGGAACTATAAATTTTATTATCAGCCTAGAATCGATATTGTTCCTTATCTACTTTGGCTTTGGGGACAGGGGTTTTGAGCTTGATAATTTTGATGACTTCTCTGAGACTTGTTGATTCTGCTACTATTAAAAAAATATTGGAGGGGCTGGGAAGGTGGCTCAGTGGTAGAGCGCTTGCCTTGCATGCATGAGGCCCTGGGTTCGATTCCTCAGCACCACATAAGCAAAAAGAAAAAAGCCGGAAGTGGTGCTGTGGCTCAAGTGGTAGAGCGCTGGCCTTGAGCTGAAGAGCTGAGGGACAGCGCCCAGGTGCAGAGTTCAGGCCCCACGACTAGAACCAAAAAAAAAAAAAAAAAAATATATATATATATATATATATATATGTATACATACATGTATATATATATGTATATATACATATATGAATGTGCCTTGTTACTGTGATTCTTGAACTTTAGTAGTACTTTCATATTTTGATTGCATTAAACTGAAAAAATAGGAAGAAAATATTAGTAGTCATATTTAACATTTAATTATTTGTTTGTACCAGTCCTGGGTGGGCCTTGAACTCAGGGTCTGGGCTCTATCCCTGAGCTTTTTTGGATGGGCAGTCATGGGACTTGAACTTGGCCTGGGCACTGTACCTGAGCTCTTCAGCTCAAGGCGAGTGCTCTACAACTTGAGCCACAGCACCACTTTCAGTTTACTAATGGTTAATTGGAGATAAGAGTCTCACGGACTTTCCTGCCGGGTCTGGCTTTGAACCTTGATCCTCAGATCTCACCCCCCTGAGTAGCTAGGATTACAGGTGTGAGCCACCAGTGCCCCGCTGTCCCTGAGCTTTTTACTTAATGCTAGTGTTCTATGACTTGAGCCATAGCCCCACTTCTGGATTTTTGGTGGTAAGATAAGAGTCTTCACAGATATTCCTGCCCTGGGTGGCTTCAAACCTTGATCCTCAGATCTCAGCCTCTTCACTGGAATTTATAGGCGTAAGCTACTGGCATCTAACCAGTTTTAATATTTCATCTTGCTTGAAGATTGAAATAATTTTATGATACAAAATTTTTAGAAGTTTTTTAAATAGTGTCACCTCATTACACAGCTATTTTTCTGTACACTAAATGTACTACTTCATCTTGGACCTTTGTGTAGATCATAGCACCTAAAGCAGCACTTGTGTAATTGAATCTTCCACACCCATGTGGGATAACCACACTCACCAGAAATTCAGCAGACAGAAGCTGTGGTGCGTGCACAGTCACAACAGAAGGGTGTAACCTCAGACACACCACTGCTGAAGAACACTAGCTGGTGCCTTCCACCTTTCTAAGCTTGCTAGAGGGTAAACAGTATGTAATGTGCAGCTGTCAGTACTCATGTCAAGCCAAGAGATAATTTTTATGTTTATTTCAATTTGACATGCAATTTGCTAAATTTCAATTTTAAATAATGTGACAACAAAGAATTTTTTGTTGTTTTTTTGTTTGTTTTTGAGACAGGATCATCTTGCATCTTCCCCTCGATGAGTTTTTATGTAAATTTGTAACTGTTTTTAGAGTTATTTTCTATAGTTATTCATTTCAGTGGTTTATGTAGTCTTTCTCACTTTGTGCTTTTGCCTTCAAAATCTAAAAAACTTAGGGACAAGAGTTAAGAATAGGGGCTGGGAAGGTGGCTCAGTGGTAGAGTGCTTGCCTTGCATGCATGAGGCCCTGGGTTCAATTCCTCAGCACCACATAAGCAGAAAAAGCCAGAAGTTGCGCTGTGGCTCAAGTGGTCGAGCGCTAGCCTTGAGCTGAAGAGCTGAGGGATAGCATCCAGGCCCAGAGTTCAGGCCCGTGACTGACAAAAAAAAAAAAAAAAAAAAGTTAAGAATATAAACTGTGAGTGGCTATATTTCTAGAGAGACCCATGCCATAGTTTTAATTTTGGCAGTCCAGATACGAGTGCCCTGACTTTTCCAACCTGTGGGCCAATCTAAGGGTATTTTGTCATTCTCATCAGTTTAAAATTAGGTCGTTTTTACATGCAAAATGAGAAACCAGACTATCCCAAATATACATAGATGATTATCTAAATATGAATTCAAATACTGTTTTTTACATTCAGACGTCATCTTGGTAATATGCATCTGAAGCAGCCACAGATTCCTCACCGGTTCTGGTGAGCTCACTTTCAGTTAGAGGAGCCAGTACACAGTCTCTCTAGGTAACATCAGCCATGAGTTAACTCTTTCAGTACCATTTCACTCCTATCGTCAGGAAGAATAGTGAATTTTCTCATGTTAACCTATGGATAAATTTGTATTATTTGACAAATCATTTGACTTGTTCTAAAGTTATTTTAAAGGTTGAAATAAGATTTTCTTAATGCTGGGCGATGGTGGCTCATGCCTGTTGTCCTCACTACTCACGAAGCTGAGATCTGAGGATCGCGATTCAAAGCCAGCCCGGGCAGGAAAGGGGCAGGAAAGTCCGTGAGACTCTTATCTCCAATAAACCACAAGAAAACTGGGAGTGGCGCTGTGGCTCAAGTGGTAGAGCATTTGCTCTCAGGGACAGTGCCCAGGCCCAGAGTTCAAGACCCACAACCAACAACAACAAACAACAAAACCCAGCATCAACAACAAAGAAAAGATTTTCTTGAAGTAGCAAAATTACATAGATAAATGTATATGACTTTGTATAGTGTAATAAGCTTTCTGCTAAGACATTTAAATAGAAAGTGTTATCTCTTTGCTTTCCTTTAAAGTATTTCTACAAGGACCGCTTTCATGTTTTTTGCAGGTACTGTAATAGGTGTTGTCATTTATACTGGAAAAGAGACTCGAAGTGTAATGAACACATCCAATCCAAAAAATAAGGTAGGCTAGTTCAAGGAATGACTGCTTTAATGAACTTGATTTTTTTTTCGTCATTAAGAAAGTCTATGTAGTGCTGAATAGCTCATCCAAGTACTTAATAGATAATATGAAACACTCAGAAATGCCAGTGATTAGGATATGAGTTCTCTGTGTTTATAAATCAACATTTTCATAGTGATGAATTTCCAAATTTATCTCCTCCAGCCTAATCACAGTTTTTTGTGTCTTAAGTTTGCATTGTTCGATGTATGATTTGCCTATAATTTGACAGTTAATTGTAGGTCTCCAATTTCTCATTTTCCATTTATTTTATAATTTGCATTCTTTATGTTAATACTTTATTTTTAAAATAAATTATTAATTTTTTATACTTTCCTTGATATTATATTATTAAAGCAGTTTTATTTATTTCGCCTTTGTATAAGAACAAATTTAAATCTTAGAGACTATTTGACTATATTCTAGAGTTATGCAGTCTGCATGAATTTATAAGTTAAATGACAACAAAAGCTAATAGGAATATATATATGTATATTGCATATAACTACCGCAGGAACATAGTGTATATATAAAACATAAAGTCACAGTATGTTCTAATATAAGTTAATGAGAAGTTTCTTTACTACTTTATTCATTTTTATTTTATATATAAATATAATCTGTGTATTTAAGGACAGTATTCATATGGATTCACATCTCAGCGAGTAGGTACTTATAAAGATTTGACTTGTACTCAAAAGTTTGTTTCAAAACATTAGAAATGAAATAATCCCTTAAAAAGATATGGATGGCATTATCTTCAGCTAAATCCTATTTTACAGTTAGCCCTTCAAAAATTAGGAAAACATCACCAGCCCTCTGCATTGGGTCTGTGGTACAGTAGAACAACCCACACCTGCTGTCTGTCTGTGAGGGGCATTGGCAGGCTCACTCACCCATGCACACGGGCAGTGCACTTCACAAAACGTGCACGTGAAGTGTGTTGCTGATTCTCAGATGAGCAAATAGAATATTCTGATGGACATGCAGATTCAAGGACTTTTGTATAATCAATACTTTTATGTTTATGACATTTTAGGGTAAATTTAATTTTAAACATTACATTTAAAATCTTAAAAGCTATATTGTTCCACCTTATTTTACAGCTTAACTGATTTCCTGTTGTTTTTCTTTTAGTCATTCTCCATGCATAGCCTTTATTTTTTGGTTCCTTGAGCTTTTTACATAGTTTTGGTTCAGAAAAATTAAGTGTTCTCTTGTTTAAGGTCTTGGTTAAGAATTTTGGGTTCCAGTGGCTCACTCCTATAAGCCTAGTGACTCAAGAAGCTGAGATATGGAGGATTTGGGTTCTAAGCCAGCTTGGACAGAAAAGTTTTTGAGACTCTGTAATGAAACATACTGTAATTAAAACATACTGGTGGCATGGCTCAAGTGGTAGAGCACTAGCCAAGCAAACAAGGCCATGAGTTCAAGGCTTAGTACTGTGGGGAAAAATCTGGCCCTTGGGTACTGCTGTCTGGATAGGAACCCAGGCTTCCCCCCCACTATGTACTTTACAATGGCTTAATTCAAATTCTTAATCTCCTTATCCATAAAATGCCAACAGTACCCACATGTGATTGTTGAGAATAAGATCATATATTTGTATTTTCTGCTAACAGTCCCTGCACTGCCATTAGAACTTGTCGTGTGACAGCAGTTCCCCCTCTTCATTCGTCTACCCTTCTCCCCTTGACCCCCATCTCCTCTTCAGGTACTGGCTTCCTGGTATTTATTTTGTTGGCTTGGGCATGAACCCTTCTAAGGAATTAGACCATCTGAGTTCTCCCCTGAATCATGTTTCAGTTAACATACTGAAGTATTTACTTATATATTGTGATTTTTAATATAGAGTCTTTCCTTTTGTCCATCCTCCTATTTATGCTTCCACAGTAGCTGGGTGAAAAGTATATGCTACTTTACCCAGCTTTTTTGTTGAGATAGGGTCTTAAAAGTGAGTGCACATTTGGAGGAGCTGATTTCCTTTCTTTCAAAGTGTATTTTTCTACCACCATTTCAAGGGTACAGCAACCCCTATGTAAGGGTTAAGCAGCTATCATTTCATGTGTTCCAGTTTGTCTAGGAGTTTATCTTTCATACACTCCTCAACGACTACACAGGCAGTTAGAGATGCTGTGTTAGTGTTCTTCTCTTTTCAAGCTTGTTCAGACTTGCTTCTTCTCCCCTGAGTTCACTGTTGTGGGCTCATCTCTGCTTGCTACTTCACGACAACCACAGTGTCATTTCACAGGTCTCCTACGGTGCAGGCAGCCCTTCTTCAGGGAGTTACTAGCTAGGCTGTTAAATAATACAAGAATGGCTAAAGGAGCAGATACTCTCTAATATATTGGCATTCTGTAGATCTGCCCGAAACTTGAAACCCACCGGGCAGTTCCCAGCAAAGGCCAGGCCTAGTAGCTGATGAGACTGTTCTCAACCGAGCCCATCTGGGTGGACATGATGACAGCAAGTGGAAGTGTGTTCTCAGCACCCTAAGTCTCCAGCCCCGGTGGCTCTCCCTGAAGCTCTCCACTGTCCTCGTGCTCACAAGTCCCACTAGCAACCCCGGGTCTTACTCGGAGGGACCCTTACCTCACGAAGGCTATTCCAGTGTGCTCCTCTCACCTCTCCCTCCCTGGGAGACAATGACTCCCGTTGGCCCCTTTTCTCATTTTGCTTAGGTCAGGGTTGCCATTTTCCCCTCTACACTAGAGGGTTCTTGAGGACTAGTGTTCGTGGTTTTTAACCCTCTAGCGCTGAACAGATGAATAATAGATAATCGTTTCACCAGTTGCGTTATACAATAATCTTAAACTTTATTTGCTTTAGCTAATGTCTCCAGAAATCTTTTGGCTAATTCACCTTTTTCTCTGCATTTTGGCTGCCTTGTTCTTGTCTAGAAGCTTTCTTAAAAAAATAGTTATTGTGATATATTGTTTTCAAACATATAAGAACTAAGGAGAATCGTGACCACTGCAAGGCCTAATAAGCTCTTGACTTGTCCTTTTCTGTGTGTGGCTATGGATGCATATTGCTCGCTAATTGTGCTTTTTAAAAGTTAAAAGAATTTTGTCTGGCTGCTAAGTGATACTGAGCTTGGGTCTGTGACACTTGCTGTTGTTGGCCCTGACTGTAAAGTTGACTCCCTGGGCTGGCATTACCTGCATTGCAACTGTGTGATGACTGTGTATCTGCACAGGCCCTGGGCATCCTGAGTCAATACCTGGGACCACAACACACACCAAGTAGAGAAACTCTCTCTGCTCTTGTCACTATTAGCTAAGATGGAAAAAATTCTTGTGTATATATGTTAGACTATAACTGGCTATTGTCATATTTTGACTCATTCTTGTAGATCTGTTCTTAAAAACTGCTTCTTGAAATTAAATAATTCCATTTTATTGGAAAAAATACATCTTTGTATCTTTTTCTGAGATTACTGGAATTTTTAAGTGTGACATGTTTTATTCAGACAGATTAAACATAAATCCTGTAATTTTGTTGGATGGATGAAAATTCTACGATAAAAATAAAGTCTTAAAGCTCAGGGTCAGATACTTTTCTCTCATCTTGGTGCTTACTGAGGGGTTGAGCTCTAATCAGAGTTGGAAGTTTTCTTTAAAAACTGTGAACAAATCAAAAGTTTTTATTGCTAAGCAATTTTACAGTGATATTTAGTGAAAGTTTAAATTACAAGGAGTGCAGCTTGAGTAATGGACTGCTTTATAAAACCTAGCTGAAGACATATTTAATAAGATGATACTTGATTACATTTACGGAGGGAAAATTCTTACAGGAGTTTAAGAAAAATCAATTGTGACAGGTTGCCATTTTCACGCCGTTCATAATAATAAGTTGCTCAGAGCAAGAGCATCAAGGATAAAATGATAATACAAATTGCTTCAAGCAGTTATTGTAATCCCTGGAGCATATTGATTTGTGTTTTTAATAAAAAGATGCTTTCAAATGTCTCATTGATAGAGAGACAGGTGACATGTGCCATTACATGAATTAGAGCCACTTCTCACTACTTGAATTATTGCAAAGGCATTTTTAGACAATAGAATAGTAGTATACTTTGCATGTTGAAATATCAAGGCAGTTTAGGAGAATAGCTTTATTATTTTAAAAGAACCATTTATTAATAATTTAAGAGTTCTGTTTTTCTATATTAAAATGTTACAATAGAGTAGTTTACTTTTCTTGTGGTTTCATACAATCATAGTATTATTTTTGTTTTCTGATATTTGCCCTCTTTGGTAATACACTTTCCATCTCAAGTGTATGTTCTTATGAGCTGCATGTTGTAGAATATAGTATGTAGTCAGTCTGCACAGGCAAAAGATTCTTGGAATGCCTTTTTGGATAACAGTTATGAATATTAACATCATAGTATTTCATGGCTCAAAAACAAATTAGCAATTAAACAAGCTGTCAGTGAAGTTTTCCTGCAACACATAGGCAAGATGCATCTTCACCTTTTGGGTTACGCCCCGATGTGACTGCCTTTGATTGTGTGGCCACACTATAGCTACATTCAACTACAAAGTGTGTTTTTTCATCTTCAATGTGAGTGAAGACTGACTTGCCTCCTGTCTCAGTGAGCAGAGCCTTCAATTTACACAGTGGAGTAAAAAGTAGTTGAAACCTTTTCTGTGGCCAGGTGGCCTGTGGAAAGAGCTCTGGACCTGGTTGCTGGGCTGCTGCCTGCCCTATCCCACCATAATGTCCCTCATAGCATGCTACAGACACCTCCCTGCCACGTTGCTGAGAGAATTAAAATGAGGTGGTGTGCATGAGGAACACGACCTAGTTTGTTCTGCAGATGCTCAAAACCAGTTAGAAGTGCCATCAGTTGGCAGCCTCCTTTCATTGGGTGTTAGGTGTTGTGAGAGTTTGGTTTGGGCATACAAATTAACCCTGAGGGTGCGGCTGGCCTGGATCTGCAGGCGGGGCACGAG